GGGGCTCGGGGTCTTGAGCAGGTCCGTCCCCTGCACCGCGATGGCCTCGTCGTGGGCGGCGTTCGCCAGGGCGACGCCGAGGGGCTGCGAGCGCAGCGAGCTCGACGGCGGGGTCGAGATCACCTCCGGGTTTAAGACGTCGATGTGCTCGTCGTTGACGTCGTTGAAGAGGAGGCTGTTCGGGACCGCCGCGTCGTTCACGGCGTCCGCCAGGCGGCTCGCGTCCAACTCGTAGGCCACCACGCGCTGCGGCAGCGGGACCTCGAGCGGGCCGCGGTGCTCGCTCGGGTCGGCGTCGGAGACGCCCTCGGTGTTGTGCTCGCTCGCGCTGTCGTTGCTGCTGAACTCCTCAGGCCCTTCCATCGCGCAATTGAGGGAAAAAACAGTAAAATAAAGACAATCCGCTGAGGTTAGGTAAAGACGGCATGAAGTTCGCGTGGTGGGTGAGAGGGTGGGGAGGGGAGAGAAGATTGGATAGATTCCGCAGTGCATAATAAGGTGGGATTTTAATTAGGGGTTCATCACATAGAAACCTTTTTTTTTAAAAAGGAGACACGATCAATTGCAGAAAGATTGAAAGTATAGGGTTTGGAATTTTACGGTTATTATTACTCGGATGCTAAAGCAGCAATGTAAAAATTACAAGAAGCTAAAAAAAAGGGCCCGACATCATTATTGCTCGGAAGAAAAAGGGAAAGAATAAACGCAATACGAAATCGATCACAATTGGAAAATATTCTCTCTTTCCCCCTAGCCTGGCCTTAGCGTTCCTTATGCACGGCCTTTTCTGCTACATTCTGATAAATAACAGATAGGGATCGCTTCTAATAACACTGAAGGTGATATAATAGAAATGAGTTCGATTTTGCCCGATCAAACCCATCACGTGGTGACCATGGCCCCTTAGGACATCGATTTAGCGCCTCATTTTGACTATTCGGTCATTTATTTACGCCTATTTCAGGCTAAGGTCAAATAAAATTAAGAAAGAAAGAGAAATGTAGCAAAAAGGATCCTCTTGAAGCTGAAAAAACATATAGACGGAATATAAAGACAGATTTAATGGTTGAATGGTAATAATAAGAATATTAATGACAGAGGTTATTTGTTGTTATTACTTAATCGTTTTGCGCTTCGTCTATACTCAACTAATACAAATTGTAACTTTGATTGTATCCTCATTACTAAAGTGCGTTGCAAAAAAGTGAAGAAGAAATACGTTTTGCATTGATCCACGTAAACTGTGTTCACTTCTTTATTTGGGATAAAAATAGAAAGATAGTCGACAATTTTTTTGTAATATACACCTAAAATTCTAAACTATCTCCTTTCAATGCTAAGAACAAGTGAGTCATCGAAAGAATAAAATTCTACAACAACAAAAAATATCTACATGAATGAATTTTTATGTAATGTAAATTGCTATTATGTATTTTTCTCATGGTGAGCCTTGCGACTTAATTGAAAGGAATATTATCACACAGCGACGAGTAGCAACCGTAAAGAATTATTGCATTAAATAAGGTAATAATCCATAAAATGAATGAAAACGCCGCCAAAGACAATAACGAAGAAAACAACAAAAAAACAATAAGTTCACGTGCTAAGACACGGATTTAGATTTCACATTGTAAGAATGTGTGAGTATATTCGCATTCTCCCCCCCTTTTTTTTGGAGAATTGACCTTCAAAGATGATACAAATTAAACCGTACTGGGAGCTAGGGCAAAAATAAGTGGAAACTATAAAAAAGGAAAGAATATAGTACACCTTCAAAATTTTTTCTCTATAGTGGCTTCAAAGGAGTAGGTGAGAATAAATACTTTTTCCCCGAAATCAAACGAGGGACAAAACAACTCGTGAAGCAATGTGCGGAAAAATATGATTTGCAATTGAAAAAAAAGAACAACAATAAGAAAGAAGGGGGCCCAAGTACCGTGTTAGAGGGATCGTAAGGCGCTTGGAAGCTGAAAAGAGGGGGGGTTTTCGCCATCTTCCCTATGCTTTCGCTCGAGCTTTCTCTTAATATACAGTCTAAATGCCTCGGAGCAGCGCATCAGCTCGTGGCGGAACTTCTCCTCGCAGTCCGTGTTCGCGTGGGCCTCTTTGAGAAAGCGATAGAGCTCGTCAATGCCCTGCGAGGTCGTCACGTGGTTGCGAATTCGTGCGAAAACGTTCGGCATAAACTCGGGCGCGCCGTTCCGCTCGAGCGCGAGGACGCCCTGCACGGCGGCCGGGGCCTTCTCGTCGGCCGGGGCCGCCCGCGACGACGCCCACTTCGGCGGGGCCACGGCCTTGGGGAGCAGCTGGAGGGCGGGAGGCGGGGGGATCTCACAGCGCCCGGTGGAGGGCGGCGGGGAGGGCGAGGAGGCCAGCGAGAGGGTGCCCTTCTGGATGACCGTCCGCAGCGACGTCGGGGCCTCCGAGAGCGCGGACGGGTCCACGTGCACGGACTTCGCCCCCCGCAGCGGCGTGTTCTTGGGCGAGCTCGGGTTGGGGTTGGTGGAGGTGGTGACCGTGGAGGGGGTCGCGCAGGTCGACCCCACGTCGGGCGGCGCGAGGACCTTCTTGACGAGCGCCGCGGGCCCATTTTCCGCCGCCGCCACCGGCGTCGACGAGGCCCGCTGTTGCTTGCGATTATCCTCGGCGGCCTGGTGCTCATTCGCGTCCTTGCTGCGCTGCGTTCGCTGTTGCTCGTCAAGGCAGGCCCGGATGAAGTGCGCGACGAGGTTCTGCGAACCCACCAGTTGAT